GACCCTGGGAACATGACCTGAGTCAAACGCAGACACTCAACTGACTGAGCCACCCAGGCGCCCCTGCGTTTTAGCTTTTGAAAGAAGGCTTCCTTCTCTAGACTGGTTGCTCCTCTCATCACCAAGAATTCGATTGTTTTCATTATTCTATAGGATACCCAGGCTTAAATTTTTGGGGGGAGGCTGTTAAATACCATTTAGTTGTCAAACTTGTTTCATTAAGTTTTTGTGTTTGTTTTTTTTTAAAGATTTTTTTTATTTGATTTTATTTGACAGACGGAGATCAGAAGTAGGCAGAAAGGCAAGCAGAGAGAGAGGAAGGGAAGCAGGCTCCCTGCTGAACAGAGAGCCCGATGGGCTCCATCCCAGGACCCTGGGATTGCGACCTGAGCCGAAGGCAAAGGCTTTAACCCACTGAGCCACCCAGGCGCCCCGTTTTTTTTTTTTTTTTTTTTTTTAAGATTTTATTTATTTATTTGACAGAGATCACAGTAGACAGAGGCAGGCAGAGAGAGAGAGAGAGGGAAGCAGGCTCCCTGTTGAGCAGAGAGCCCGATGTGGGACTCGATCCCAGAACCCTGAGATCATGACCTGAGCCGAAGGCAGTGGCTTAACCTACTGAGCCACTCAGGTGCCCTGTTTTTTTTTTTTTTTTTTTTTTTTTTTTAAATACTTAATTTATTTGAGGGAGAAAGAGAAGCAGACTCCCTGCTGAACAGGGAGTCCTGATATGGGACTCGATCCCAGAACCCTGGGGCAAAGGCAGACACTTGATGGACTGAGCAACCCAGGTGCCCCTTTTATTAAGTATTTTTTTCACCTTTTTTAAAGTAGGCTCCACAACTCGAATGAAACTTGAAGCAGGACCTGAATTCACGACCCTGAGATCAAGACCTGAGCTGAGACCAAGAGTTGGATGCTCAAACCGACTGAGCCACCCAGGTGCCCCATTTATTAGTGCTTTTAATCAACAGGGATAATCAACATGATACAGTATCAGCCAAAAGCAAAGTAACATTGTTATAGTCACCTTGTACAACTTAACTTTATGTGATAAAATGTGTAATTATTTCAGTTGCTGAAATATTTTAAGTTTTTGCATAGCCTTAAAAGTCTAGGGACCTCTTCTCGCCCCCAATTAAGAACAATTCTCTTAGGTCTTGATGAGTAGGATACAGGGAGCTCTTCATAGTAAAGATGACGTTCGTTGTCATCCTCCCAGCATCTGTTTTCCTCCTGATCCTCTGTGAGGAGCACAGTATCCTGTTGGAATAACTAGTTGCTCTGTACTCCTGCATGCCTGTCACGCTCCAGGTGCTCCCTTTCTAGATTTGAGGGTTAGGGTTAGGTTATTGTTCCTGTCTTGGAGAAGCTGATGCTTAGTGTAAGAGGCAGATGGTGTCACTGAGTGTCGTGGTGTCATAGGATACAGAGTACAGTGGGACCGCAGAGAAGGGGGTGATGTGAGAGATGGTGCTCAAAGAAACCTTAGCACAGGAGGTCATTCAAGGTCATCTGGTCATCACAGGCCAGGCTCTGGAATTTCTGGGGTCTGGTTTTGGATCTCAGTTCTGCCTTTGGAGAATTAGGTGATTTGGGCAAGTTAAGTTCCTCTAAACCGTATTAGCCTCCTGTAAAATGAGGCTAATACCTGCCTCCTAAGGTTGTAAAGATTGGAAACATAAAGGACTTGGCAGTACAGCATCTGGTAGGTACATAATAGCTGCTCATTAAATCAAAGCTCTGTTGTTACTGTTGTTGTTCCTATTGCTGCTGCTGTGACCCTCACTCACTTTGATGGATGGGTAGGGTTAGAGGAATAAAGGGCAGAGGACAAACAGCTTTCTAGAGATAGGAAAGAATATATGGAGAGACATGGTGACCAAAGATAGTATTTAGGGAATAAAATAACATATCTTACTTACAGATTATGTTGAGAATAAAATACATGTGAAATACATAAACATGCAAAAGTATAGTACCCTTCACGTCCCTGTTTAGATGCCAGGAAAAAAAAAAAAAGTACAGCCCTTACTTTTAAATTCCACATTACCCCTTTATAATTCCTTCGTTTTTAAAACATCTTGGTTCTTTTTTTGCATCTTTATATCTCTGTTGTTTTCTTCCCTGATTTCTTCTCTACTTCTTGATGTCTTACTTTGAGGCATCCCCCAGAGTTTAGTTGTCTGTTGTCACTTCTCTTTTCTGTTGGAGAGATTAGATGCTCTTCGGGCTTCCTCTGTCACTGTTACACAAAGCACTTTTAACTTCATCAGTGGCCCTGACCTCTTTCCTAGGTTCCTTTAAATTGTCTCCTACTGGTCTCCTAAAATTTTGACCTGATCCATAATTCTGTCTCATTTGTTTGATTTCTGAAAAAAACAGAAGAGAAATGATCTAGATTAGTCAGATGTTTACATTGCTAAGGAATGATGCTTAAGAAAACAATCAGACTCCCCATGTACTACATTTCATACTGGAAAGGATTTTTTTTTTTAAGATTTTATTTATTTATTTGACAGAGATCACAAGTAGGCAGAGAGACAGGCAGAGGGAGAGGAAGGGAAGCAGGCTCCCCACCAAGCAGAGAGCCCAACAGGGGGTTCAATCTCAGGATGCCTAGGATCATGACCTGAGCTAAAGGCAGAGGCCTCAACCCACTGAGCCACCCAGGCGCCCCTGGAAACGACATTTTAAAAGTGTAGAAAGGCCATTAATATTAGAATTTAAAAATATGGAGCTTTAAAAATTATGTAGTGTGGACTTCATTGCTTTTCTTTTTGCCTGAGACTAATGAATATCTAGTAAAATACTATACTGTGTTGATATCAATCTGCCTAAAGTTTGACTGTGGTCGTATTTTTCAGTGCTTAGAATGGCTCGCTGTTGCCTAACTAAAAAAACAAAACAAAACAAAACCCCTCCTTTCTTAGGCCTTTAGAGTTTAACTCTGGCTCTCCTTTCTAGTCTTTTCCCTTATCACATTTCTCTGTTACCAACTTAAAAAAAATTCAGAAAGTGTATGGTGTTTGTGGTTTGGATCTGACCCAGGTTCAAATATGGGCCTGTGTGGTCTTGGGCAAGTTACTGTCAAGAGAAGAAAAGCAGCCCTTGGCATCCCAGAGCTGTGCTGGTACTGTCAGCTGGCCTTGATGTTGTTGTGAGCTAGCCTGGCACCTAACATCTGGGTCTTGGTGTTCTTGTGTTGAACACAAACAATTTCACTGAATATCAGCATCAGACAAGGCTACTCTCTAACCGTGATGGATCAAGACAAAAACAAGAGCATCCCATAATCATGTCTTGACCTAGACAAAACATGAACATTGTCCAACTCACAAAATACACAACATCCCTCTCTCTAGGCTATGATGTGAATGATTATTGCTGTTCTACTGGTTACAGCTTTAGCCTCAGTAAAGAGAGTTGTTGATATATCCAGTTGTAGAATTGTTCCCACTTTCTGATAGTACCCAACCAGAGTGAACCCCTGCTGCTTTGGACTCTTACAAAAAAATCACCTAGACAATTCCCAAATACTCAGTAAGTCATTTTTGATATTCTGGAATTCCTCATAGTTTCCCTTGGTGCGTGTTCTTAATAAATTCAACTTGTTCAGCTATAAGTATGTTCCTGGTTTGTGGGCAGAGGGCCTTGACAGTAACAATTTGAGCCTTACTTGTTTTAATATGTGAACTGGGATTAATAACATCTTTTTTGGCAGAGTTACTGAAGATTAGGTGAGAAAATGTAAAGCACCCAGCAGAGTCCTCCAACTTTGAGCTGCTCAACAAAAGCTTGTTTCCTGTCCTCTAGTAAAGTACTCTGATCAGTCATGGTCCCCTGGCAGGGCTTGGAAGGACCTTGTTTTAACCCTTTCTCATCCGTGGAGCACTCTGTTCTCATCCTTCAGGACTCAGTTCGGATACCTTTTCTGTGAAACCTTTACCATCTCTTCATGAGCTCTTTTGTCTGAACTTCAGGTATTGTTTTTACCATTGACTTGCCTATTAATTCTACTCTATTTTGTGGCATCTTTGTACTTACCTTCTGTTATCTAATTTTTTTTTTTTTTAAGATTTGTTTATTTATTTGTGGGGGCGCAGAGAGACTCAAGCAGACTCCCTGCTGACTGTGAGCCTGAATTGGGGCTCAGCCTCCCAACCCAACCTGGAGATCATGACATGAGCTGAAACCAAGAGTTTGACACGTGACCAGCTGTGCCACCCAGGCACCCCTTCTTATCTGAATTTTTCATGTACTATGCCTTGTTTAACGAAATTGTTCTCTAGGGATGGGGGCTTTGTTTAAACAAGGACCTTTGAAACCAGTTGTTTTGTAAGGACTCATTTATTTGAATTTGTTACAGTATGTTAGAAAATGCTTAAACATGATTAAATTAAAACAAAAGGAAGAGAAGCATCATTTGTCACTTCCCGTGAATATGGTGATAGTGTGACGTTTGCCTAAGCCAGGTACTTCAGAGTGAAGGGGAGCAAATAACACCACCCCAAAATGTGCCGCTTTGGCATATTATTTTGAGTCAAAGTTAACTTAAGAACATCCGTTGCATGAGGATGCTCTGAGCCTCCCTTGTCTTTCTGAAAATAGGAGGTAAATCTCCCATGTGAAACATACCCTCCTTGTACCAGGAGAGTAGAGGACATGCCTATCACCAGGCATAAGGAATTTAGGGCTGAGAAGGCTGTTTAACAAACGTTAAACAGCTTTCTTCAGTGATTTACTACCCCAAGTCCAAATCTCTTTGTCTTAATAGTTAATTCTTCACACATTTATTATTTCTTTGTCTGGAAAGATAGCAGTGTTGCCTGCTTTGATCCCACATTTTTATGGGCTCCCCTACATATGAAATTAAATGTGTTTTTCCCCTGTTAATCTGTCTTAGGTCACTCTGATTGTCAGACCAGCCCAGCACCCGAGAAAGGAAGAAAGGAAAAGTTCTCCTCTCTTACAAAAGCTTTTTATATTTTCCTTCCTAGACAGTACAATGGTGGGCGAAGAGAAGACGTCTCTAAGAAAACGGCTGTCAGAGTCCAGGGAAAATTCTGAGGAAGATGAAGACCAGAGAAGCCCTTCAAGGGGGTCCCTGGAGACAGCTAGTAATGGTGAGGCTTTTAATTTTTTTCCTCCTGGTATTTAACTTTTGTTAACTTTAGTCAGTAAATACGTAGGATGTGAAGTAATTTTTATAATTTTATAGTGAAGATTGCTGAGGACACTGCAGAGGACATGCTTCACTTCTGTTGACTCAGGGACCTTGCTGACAGGGGATGACTGCTTATCTGCTCTCTTGATAACTCCAAGGACCATCGTTGTGTCATGTCCCGCGCAGCAAAATGGCCTAGACCTGGGTACTCAGAGGAGGTCTCCTCACACATGGCCTTGCTGGGGGCTGTCTGCACAGTGGCCGCCTCACCAGGCCTCAGGGCTTAGGGTTGTCCTCCAGCCTCTTGGCCGAGTGCTGGTCCATGTTTTCCTTGAGTTGTGAGCATGTGGTAGCCCAGCACTGCCTTGTAGCCAGCGTGGCTCTGCCCGGGGTGGTTGAGGACCATCACCTGTGCCACAGCATGGGCAGCCTCCACGGAGCAGTCGTTCCTGCTGTCTCTTGGACACATGCTTTGTGTCGGAGTCCACGTTGTCATCAGGCAGGGCCTCCGGCAGGCCTGTGGGGCATCATCACAGACTAGAGCTTGGGTGGGGACAAGGTGACCACCCTCTCATATTTTGGGCAGCTAGTCTCCACTCAGCCCACAGGCATGGGGCCAGTGTTCCCGATCTTGTACATTCCGTGCAGAGCCAGCCTTAGGGGCTTGTCGACTGGGTGGGGGGCAGAGTCCAGAGACTTCTAGCAGAGTCACCTGGTGATGTTTCATTTACCCTCTTGACCTTCCAGCCAGGGCACATTGTTGCTGTGCCAGCCTGAGATGGGCACAGTGGCCACAGTGACCATGTTGTAGCCAATCTTCTTGAGGCAGGTGCTCACTTCTAGTGATCTGGAGGCACATGGTGCTGGAGGTAGGCTCGGCAACGTCCCTCTCGTTGATGGCCACCCTGAGATGTAAACTGCTTCAGGCCCAGCATGTAGGCCCCAGTGCATGTTCACAGGTCTGCCTTTCTTAGAGATGCCTGCTTCTAACTTGAGCATGCTGCTGCCATGATGAGCATGGCACACTTGGCCTTGGATATCCAGTGACCGCATTCTTTTTTTTTTTTTTTTTTTAAGAATTTTATTTTTATTTATTTGACAGAGATCATAGGTAGGCAGAGAGGCAGGCAGAGAGAGGGGGCAAGCAGGATCCCTGCTGAGCAGAGAGCCCAATGCAGGGCCCAATCCCAGGACCCTGAAATCATGACCTGGGCTGAAAGCAGAGGCTTAACCCACTGAGCCACCCAGGCACCCCCATTGATCACATTCTTGATGGATTCCCTGGGGCCTGGAGCATTGATGGTGGTGATATCATGGTGGTTAGTCTTTTGACTTCCACAGGGAGGTAGGAGTAGTGATGCCACGCTTGCTTTCCACCTTCAGCTTGTCCAGCACCTGGGTGTATTTGAAGGGGCCCTTGCCCATCACTGCTCTCCGCCTTTGAACGTCTCAGTGGTTCCTTTATCAGTGCTCCCCTGCTTGTAGATGAGCTAGATCCCTGGTTGGGGGCGGGGCGAGGAGGGGGAATTAGAGGAGTCCACATGGCTAAGGATAACGATACTGATAGGGTCTTTGCCCATGGGGATAGGTTGATTAGTGCTCTAAAGAACCAGCAGCAAACTCGATTCAGAGATCAGCAAGAGCTCAGCAACTGTGGGAGAGACTTGTAATATTTTTGAGGTGAGTTAATGAAAGAAGAACAAATTCAGTGTTTTTTAGAGTAGGAATTGCCATCTCTTTAGCTCTCTTTATTATAGGTGGGTTTGCTGGCAGTGTGAAGGTACAGAGGTGAAAAATACATTGATAAAGAGAATAGAAAGGAACATTTTGATTTAAGTGCTGGTCACAGCAGCATTATGCTGGTGACACTGGAGTGTAAGTTGCTGCATGTGTCAGATCAGAGGTGAGCTTTATTGATGTAAGTGGAATTTGCAATGTGTACTTAAAGATTTATATACATAAAATTTCCTATATCTGGTAACAAAGAAATTAGAAAATAAGCCTTTCTTGTTAATGAATTCAGTGAACTTTTTTGGGGTATGTACTATGTTTTATTTTTAAAAATACTTTATTTATTTATTTGGCAAAGAGACAGCGAGAGAGGGAACACAAGCAGGGAGAGTGGGAGAGCGAGAAGGAGAAGCAGGCTTCCTGCGAAGCAGGGAGCCTCGTGTAGGGCTGGATCTCAGGACCCTGGGATCATGATCTGAGCTGAAGGCAGACACTTAACGACTGAGCCATCCAGGCACCCTGGTACTATGTTTTAGACACCATTCATCTGTTTATTTATTCCTTCAACCACTTAACTTACCAGTGATTCCTGGTGCCCTGCTAGGTGCTGGGTGTAGTGATGTATGTGTGTGTTTGCCCTCGGAGTTCCAGGTTAAGTGAATGAGAATCCCACCCCCAATTAACGTAATTATATTACTACAAATAAGTGGTACTAATTACTCCTGGGAGTTGTAAGGAGCATAGTGAGACTAATTAGTGGGGTACCTAACTTAATTAAGTACAGGGCTATAAATCTTGGGGGAGGGAGAGATAAGGGAGTTTTACTAGTTCTTCTATCCAAGTTTGCTTAACACACAAATACAAAGAGTACGACACAGTGCTTGTTGTTAAGGTCAAGGCTTAATGCTTGAGATTGATAGACCTGTAAGCACAACTCCAGCTGATGTCACCTCTTGCATCAGCCTATTTATTTTTGCAATGACATTTGTATAGGTTTGATTTCAAGACGGATTTGAAATTTGAGCCTTGTTTGGTTAACAAATAGGGATGGAACTGAGACAGGTTGTCTTCGGCATTGTGAGGTGTCCTACATGGAGAAACGTGCTTTGCTTTTCCTACTTAAATCTAATTGTAAATACAGCAGCTGGATCCCACCAGGAATATAAATGTTGCTGCTTACATTTGCATTACATCGTTAAGCTCTTCATTAGCTACTTATGAAATATTTATTTTGTGTATTTTTAGTTTTAATATGTTAAAAAATGGGAAATTTGTATATAAGGATGAGTCCACATTGAGTAGAAACCTTCCCTTTTTGTGATCCTGGGACTGGGTGATAATCCATGTTGTCTGTCTTGGGAGACAGAAAAATCCCTTTTTGTTGAAACTTTCTGTCACCAGATGCAGTTTTCTCTTTATGTTGCATTTTGTAAAAATCTTTAAAATTACTCTAATTTCTGCATATTTTCAGTACTTCTTACTGTCTTAAGTTTTAAACATTTCAAGTTCTACTGCAGGTATTAAAAATTGAATTGCTGAGCTTAAAGCAAGAAGTATGACCTCCTTGGTTTTAATGCTGATCTGAAAATAGAGTGTGTTCTCCACTTGAATTAACATTTGTTCACTTTGGGGAAGAAGCAGATGGGTAAAATTGTGGCCTTTGAGAGCAAGCCATGCCATTCAGTGTGGTCCACCAACCAGGACTAGGGTCATCTGCACCATTGGTAGAACTTGGTAGAATGCCTCACCTCACCTTTACTGAATAAGGTTTTATTTTAATAAGCTTTCCAGGTGATATGTAGGTTCAAGTCTGAGGCACAATTCTTAGAGGGGCAGTTCTCAATTGGTGTGTGCATTGGAGTCCTCCAGAAGAATGGAACCAGTAGGATGTATACAGATACATAGAAAGATTGGCTCAGGTGGAGGCTAAGAAGTCCCACAATCTTCTGTGTACAGGTGGGAGTCCCAGGGAAGCCAGTGTGTAGTTCCAGCCCAAATCCGAAGTCTTCAGAGGCCAATGGCATAAGACTCACTCCAAGGCCTGAGAACCAGGGAAGGAGGAGAAGACAGATGTCCCAGTTTACTCCAGAGCACAAATTTGCCCTTCCTCTATATTTTGTTCTACTGTGCCAGCCCTCCAGCCGTGGGGAGAGTGATCTTTACTGAGACGGATTCAAAAGCTTATCTTTTCTGGAAACACCCTTAACGCCTAGATTCTATTCTATCAGCCATCTGGGCATTACTTACCCCAGTCAAGTTGACACATAAAATTAGCTTATAGAATGAAAATAATTCATCAAACAAAAACAGCTTATTAGACCCCATTATAGTTGTACTCAATCAGAATCTCAGGGAAGGGGTCCCAGGAATGTTAAGTTTGAAAGGTTGCTCGGTAATAGTGACTGGCATTGTCGTTGAAACCCACTGTTACCAAGAGCTTACACCTGTCTTGTAACACGTCATTTTGACATTGCTCTAAGGATTTATTCATTACACTCCACTTAGTGTAATTCTTGAATTCTTACCCTGCATTCAGAATTCTAGTAAGCTATGGATGTGATGATGTTATGCTCAGTTTAGCCTCACAGGTTATCTGTGTCCAGCCTAATTCTTTATAGTGCCCCCTTACATTCTCAGAGGTGGACCAGTTTATTTCAGAAAGTGTCACCCAACTTCTGGGTTATTGAATTAATAGTGACCATTACTGTCACTTTATAGTATTCATATATCTTTATATGTGAATATATATAAAGTATCTTTAGTTTATCCAGTGCCTATCAGGTGAAATTATGATTAATTAGCTTTTTTGTATTTTGTGGCATGTTTGAAATACCCCTTCTGAAGATAAAAACTTTATGCCTAAATTTAAAAAATATTACCATTACCTGATTTTAAAAGTAATACATACTCATTTAAAAAAAGTGTTACTGTGCCATCATGTACCTTCAGTTAAAGTGTTCAGCTAGTTCAAAGTACATGGAAGAGGATAAACAAGAAAGCAGAAGTGACTCAAAATTCTGTAATGGAAAAATGAGTATGTGTTGTCCAGACATTTCATTTCCATAAATTACTAACATCTTACATAAATAGAATACTTTTTAAGTTTAGTAACTGGGATCCCAAGAACCCCATGATAGACATCTTTCCATTGTCAAGTAGTAAATAGATGAGTGGCTATAAAGTATTTGATATGTGTCATACTTGTTTCCCTGATGAATATTTTTTCTG